AAAATTCGGGAAGCATACCAAAAATTTTATCGGAGAGAGTGACTAACGCCACGTACCTCCTTCATCAAAAAAAATTTTTGTCTTCCCTCCCCCCCCCCCCCGCAACGGAAATGTGGGTATGCCACTGATGCAAATCTGCAGTTGCACCATTCATTCCTAAAATCGCGTAATAAAATGCGCATATGTATATCGTCTTCAGTGCTCGCACACACTGCATTCTATTCTGGATTTTTGCTATAGAAAACTCTTCTTCGATTTAGTGCTCTTTCACTGTTTTTCCTGGATTTTTAAAGGACACGTGATATGCGCGGCTTGTACACCAGAGGGCATGGGACTGTGCCGAGATAGGCCCCACCGCGCGCGGACAACTGGTATGAGTGTAATGCCTGTATTGCGTAAAGCTGAGTCCTATCGCATATGTCCGTGAAGGACTACCCCTCTCGGCGACATAGAGTCCCCTACCCCATATCAGAATAAGAAATGACTAGACTGCATTATTTATAACCCATGTTCTCCATCGGTTCCGAACAAATTTGTCATAAATAACAAGAATAGGACAAGCCTCTTCCTAAATAGGTCTCACAACGTACTATGAGTGTTCGAATCAGGGCCCAAGTTCACTGTAAAGTCAGCTCCCGTATTCCATTATACATTTCATATAAATTGAAATGCTGTACTTCGCGAATAGAATTCAAAACATAAAAATAAGTGCATTTTTGAGTGTAATGCACGGCATAGATGGTAGAATCACTTACACTAAGATAACATTAAGAGACAAAACTGTGATCGACAATGCCCCACTTAGTAAAAATAATTCCTTTTGTAAGGTCTCCACTACTCCGTGCACGCTTCTAATCGTTTGATCGAATTTCCTGTCTATAAAATGGAAAGAAATTCCATAGCTTTTTGTCTAAGCACTAAATACACAGGTGGACTGGTGTTTTCCAGTTTCTAAGATTTGAATCTCTTTAAAGACGTCTTTTCTACGGACAGCAACTTTTTTCCAAAGCTATCTATAAAGTCCACAAGACGTTTAAACTTTCCCAGTGGATAAATGACAGGATTTCCATGACAAACTTTGGCGCAACCTGCTTGATATGGCCGTTAGGAAGGGGGGGGGGACAGAATTTTGAACCATATTTTTGTTGGAAATTTCAGAAATATTAGAAGTAAAATTGAGTACAATGAGGAATTATGTCCAGATGCGCAAAGACGGTAGACGACATACTACGCCAACAGACTTCAGGGCGACAACTGGAACAAACAGTTTGTGTCAGATGTCCTAAGCGGAAGAGTTAGCCTTTCAAAACTTTAGTACCAAAACGCGCTATGCCTTAAAGGAAGGGCGATTATCGCCTACAGGCACCGCCTTCGTGCAGACACATCCTGCATACCATGTAAGGATCAGTAGTCCGCAAAACGAGCCTATGACTGTATCGTTCCTCTACTTCCCCTCCCCCCTCCCCCCCCCCCCCCGCCTACTCCCGCTACCCTTCCATATTGTCCCTGGATAAAATAAATGAAGTGCTGTGCACGATTCGCATGCTATGCGCAAACGCATTCCTCGCCCTCAGTTAGTCGTTATCACCTTTAAATATTGCGAAAAAAGTTCGGGGTGTGGCCGATCAGGGGTGGTACAGTAGAGTGTATTCATAGTGGGCGGAGCTACGGTTAATCGTGATTTGCAAATATTTCGCTCCTTTCTGCCTTCTACGCGGAAGTAACATATTGATAAATAAGTCATGAATAATATTTCGATTTTCATGCTCTCGTTGCTGACAACTCTTGCACCTAAATGGTAATAATTTGCGCTCTATTGCCACTTATTATAAGCATCTCGCAAGCAAGTTGTCAACATTCACAAGCATGGCAATTATTTTCGCGCAGATGTTGTCGTCACCGCAGGTGCACTATATTGATCACAAATGCACTGTGACTGTATTTGAAGGATCCCAAATCTAACTTAATTAGTTGTTCATTGCAACACAAAAGTTTACCGAGGCTCCAACAACTCTCGAATGCGATATCCCTCCCCTCTATCAGTTCATCGTGCCGCGCCACTTCTAAACTGGGCGATTGTGATGCAAAGAAATCGTCAAGGACAGCTCTATTCTTCTTTTTCGAACTGTTTCCCACTCAGCGAATGTTTGAGTCGCGAACAAATTGTGATCATCGAAGGAGTTGGAAATGTGAGATTGATTACTAGAGATTGTGATTTATGGCTGACATTGTCTCCACGCTCGTGATTGCTCTTTGTTTGTAAGATTTTAGAGCAAGAAAACAGCCGGTGTAGGTCTCAATAGTTTTAACGGTAAACATAGTGTTTTTGCGCCTCCAGCAACAATTGCGCATAAGCAAACGCCACCCACTCTCTGCGGCAAATTTTATCGCGCAAGTCGCAAGCAAGCTGGCGGCAAAATACGCGCATGGCACTTAATCTCGCGCAAATGTTGTTGTTTCCGCAGAGCACTATCTTAAAATCAGACCGTCAATTGTGCTAGTAGTTAAAAGCGAAGACGGTGTGAACGTACGTATCTTTCAGCCGTCTACGTTTTGTAATTTTTCGTATTATCGATCCGTCAAAGTCTCTATTTGAATCAGCAATTTATGAATTATTATGATAGTAATTATGATTGGAACTACAAATAGCCATCGTACGTCTTAATTCAGTTACATCTGCGTATTACGTGTAATTGTACATATTTATTCCACGAGAGATAACGTATAACCGTAGCTTTGAAAGAAATGGATAAAAATAGTGTAGCAAACACAAACAATAAATATTAGGTTGGCCCGAAAGTTCAGTTGCACCATTTCCAAAAATTCATAACTTCCGATTTTCCCAACCAATTTGCTTGCATTCATTTTTATTTGAAAGAGGGGGGAACGAAACTTACATACACCGAAAGGCTTGCCACCGCATAGCCTCACCCTGAAAGAGCAAATCATGCAATTCATAGCGGTACTTAGCAGTCTCCCATTGAGCCTAAACTTTTCGCAGAAACGCTCAATCAGCACAAATTTTGCAGTCAGAAAGGGCAGGTGATATAGCCTATAAAACCGACCGCTCCGATTTTTACTGTAAATTTCAGATTTTCTATCACCCTACACAAAAAATAAAAAATTTGAGTAATTTTCTTCTACGGCTTCTATCTATGCAATGTATATGCCCATTGAAATTTCAAACAAAATTATTAGGTTGGAGACTAAGTTTTGCAACTCATCAATTACGCTTGCTCACATTCAATATAAAGCATTCAAATTTTACCAGTTTGTTTTCTATAACGTAAGCTACAAGCATAGCTGCTGTTTCGCCAAATTCTGACGTCGCAGTGAGGATTACGGTAGGTATATAGTACAAGGGAAAAATTGCAAATCATTACGGATTTGGCTGAAACTTGGCTTAAGAGGGTTTTCCGACATGCTGATCACGAATAACATGCTGAATTTGCATGGTAAGAGCTTTTTTGTAAGATCACTGTAGTTTATCGGCATGGGGTCTCCAATAGAACAGAATTTGATTTAACAAACGAAAATGATATTCATGTTTAGCAGGTCGAATAACCTCAATATGTGAAGTCTCCGCGGATTCTGACGTTCCCACTTTTTAGTCATTGATGGTTGTTCCCACCAGTCTTGTGTACTTCAACTTTGTGAGGGCGCTAGAAGTCGACTTGATTTTCAAATCCATTCCCTTTCTACTGAGCTCAATTAGTCAATCTCGAGCAATAGTTCACATGCAGTTTTGGATCATTATGCGTCATTTTTGCTTAAAACCTCATAAATCTTTAAAAATTACTATTTTTGGAAAAATGCTTGTAATTTTTTCATTTCCATTTGAGAAATTTAACAGTTTATGCATGATTGTAGCACACATTAAAATCTGCACATAGCCAAAGCTTGAGTGCAACATGTTCAAAGAGAGTTGAGTTATGGAAGCAGTTGCAAAACTTAGTTTCCAACCTAATAAAAGCAACCAAATGGTTTGGTAAACTTAGAAGTTATGAATTTTTGAAAATGGCGCAACAGAACTTTCGGGCCAACTTCATACAATAAGAAGTCGTTTTCTGTAAAAAATTCAAGGATGTAGAAAAATTTTTGATGCCATTTGTTGTTGTTTTGTTATTGATGCAATTTTCACAAGTTACGTACTGTAATTATCATGCTCAAGCAAGTGCACACTTTTCAGTCTAGCTACTCAACCATGGCCCTCAGTCCCAGTTAACGTATTTTCACGGTATTTTTTTATTTTCCGACAAGTTTACATCGATATTTCACCCGTCCCTTTTGCTCTGGAACTCCGCAATTTCCTTGCCACTCTTTCACTTCAATCGGAATTCATCGATTGAACAGTTGTAGAATCACCCAATGATGCGGTTAGCCTTTTTCTCACCTTTGTCCCGTCATTGCGCACTGCGCTCGGCCGAAAACCCGCTTGATTACACGAGAATTCTCGTGTGTATGTGAATATGCGTCAGTTATCTGTTTCGTTGTCTGGTTGCGCTCTATTGCGCAAGTTACGAGACAATCAATTCCGCTTAACTGCCCTATTATGTCGTAATTCGAAATGTCATTGGGATTTCTTGAGTGGAAATTGCGGCTTTGGGAAATTGGATATCTCATTCTAGCATCAGACTTATGGGACGCAGAAGCTGCTGGTGCAGGGCTAGCACAGAGCCCCATTAGACACAATGATAGGGGATAAATCAGGTGGGGGGGGGGAGCGCTGTACGGAAGTGTGGCTATAAAACTGGTTATGCGCGGGGAAGGGGATGATGAGAGCGACGACCCATGTTTGGGTAATGTGTATGTTTTGATAGCGCTAAATCGCAATTTTATGATCGAGGTTTTCGCCCCCGAGAAAGCAATAAATACCACAATGAGCAGTTCTGAAACGACTGGACATATCCGCATTATCTTTGAGTTTTTTTTCATTCAATCGTTCGTGAAAGCCGTCCGTCTAAATTCTCCAGAAAAAAAAATTCTAGATTTTTTCGTTCAGACTTTTCCTCTCCGGAATCCAGGAGATGAACCATATGCCTCCCGATAGTCCTGCCTCCATTCGTAGTAAGGATCCAATTGCTACCATAAAGTAAGTTTTTTTTCTATTTTTATTCTTGTTCTTATTGTAACTAAATTTATTATTATTACTATTATTATCGGTTATTTTCTGTCAATTATTTTTCTACAATTTTGTTATTACTATTATTATTATCGTCTATTACACTACCATTGATATATATTTCTACATGGTTTATTATTAGACAGTAACAGTAAGTCAGATAACGCTCTTATGATAATGATCACATAGAGTATTACATTCGTGGATATTCTGCAATTGCGGAAAGCACAGGATCGCGGAACCAGTCTAACACATAAGGAATCGCTACCTCAATTCAAAATCTTTCAATAGCGGGAAACCGCGGCAGGTCCCGAAGCAAACTCTCTTGCACATAGCACCTTTAGACAACTGGTTCATGAGTTTCTATAAAATGGCATCTAAAAAGTTTTGGTCAAGTTCTTAGGTTCTAAATATGCGGATAACCCCAAAAAAATTCTATTTGAAATAAGAGAATTGAAATTATCGCACAAATTCCAAAAACTGCCGCATTGTGTGTGCGGTGTGCATTTGCACAAATTACCGTGAAAAATTGTCTGTTTTCTTTCGATTTTAGCAAATTTTCAAAAATGCCTGCATCGCAAAACGTTAGTTTCATATCCGGATTACTGTAGTTGATGGGCTGTTAGGATTACGGTAAATGATACGTTACAATTGGTAATTTGATTGATTTGCTGCACATCTACTACTTGTCAAGATTACTGTAATTTTGCTCGTCATTTTCGATGTTTTCCAAATTCAGCATGTTTTCAAGCCTAGTTATCACCTTCTCACACTTGTTTTTCACATTTTTCTTGCTGTATATGACAGCCGGAAAATGAATGAAGAATTATATGATGAAGTCCATCCATTTCTTCCAAACTTGTTGATGCCAGTTGTTCGTAATAAGTCCTGGCAGCTTGTCATTGCCATAAAGCATTCCATTCTGTTATTCTCGCACTTATTGCACGAAGAACTCGTTTTTTGTCTAAAATCGTTCTTTAAGTTGAGAATCAGCCATGATAGGGCAGGCATCGCCCATTTTACACTTCTCTCCGTTCCATCTTCGGCTGTTTCGAATTCGCTAAAAAAGTTTTAGCAAACTAAAGTCGATAAATTCCAACTACTTATAACAGCCAAACTGCCAGTAAGTAGTTAGTACTGTCAATAAAACGAACACATACTAATGACCTTTTCCATACCCCGAACCGGTTAAATGTTTTGATTCATTAGTACTTTGCGTCAATGAACTTTTGTTTTACTGTAACCCGGCGCTGTACGGGGCAGAAAAAAACGTTGTGCCGATAAATTAGCTTAGACAGTTCGGGAACGAACTAGTGTCTCGTCAACTACTTCCCGTAACGTATTGTAGCTAAATTCTACCAAAAATGAGGTTGGTTAACAGATTTTGCATTTTTTTTACAAATAACCCACTTATTTTGATAGCATAGTCCGTTGGCGAATTTCGGTTACATTTTAACATTTTATTGATATTTTAGCCAAAATAACTTTCTAAAAAATCTTCTATGAGCTTTCCAAGACAGTTTCTATTTTTACATTGAGTAAATAATTTTGATTTCTTGTTTTTCTAGCATTCCTTCACCTGTCGTTTTTGAGATGCTAAAGGGATCAATTTGCAGTTCAACAGAGCTTGAACGCACCTACAAATTTTATAGAAAATAAAACCACAAGTGGAGCCAGTGTCAAGGCAGAAAAAAATCAGAAGATAAAAAAATAAGTCTGAGTATGTCTGAAGCCTACTGAACTTAGGCTATGAGTGCATTTCCGGCCCCTGTCATGTATGTACTAGGTAAGATGTCTGAGATTTTTGGGAACTTCTGAAATTTTCCAGCATTGAAAAGTGTGACAAGAACTTTCTGCCAATATTTATTAAAAAATTTTTGTTTCCCGAGTGGAGTTGAAGCTTTTCCATTTCTGATTCTTTCTGAATTTGTTGTAAAGATAATCACATGCAATTCTTTTTCTTTGAATTCTGATAAAGTTGCTCAAAAAATGGGTGCTACTCGGTTGATTACTGTAAAATTATACAACTCGCCACTAAGCTTGGTAACTTCAGTTTAGGTCTATTCTATATCTTCAACGTAAATAAAAGATTTAGTGTTACCTTGAGAGTCACTTGTCAGTGAAAAAGCCAAGCGAATAGAGCAATTAGTTTTAGTGTAAGAGTTTTTGACGAATCTATCAGTGCTGTCTTCCGAAAGATAATTTTTTTTTCCTTTTTGGGAAATGCAACCGCTCCAGTTCATATTCTCTTTGGCAGGAATATCTTTTTTTACTCTATAATTTTTCATGTTCTAGCAGATGACCTTTTGACAAGTAATTTTAGAATGCATGAACATTGAATTTAAATCCGCGGATGTTTTGTCTCAAAATGACCTCTCCGTTCGAGGTTCAATAAGAGCTTCTTGATCAGGTCCTAATACAATACTCCTAGCCAATTTCCTAAAATTCAAAAAACTAGGAAGTGCTAGAAAAGCATTCTACTTGGAAAAAAGCTTTTGTTTTGCCTTGCTAGCATTTTTCCAGCAAGGGAAAGTTCGGATTAAATTACCCACATCATCTTGATATGAAAAATGAAAATAACCCGAATATATTATATCCTCCATTTTTGCACAAAAAGTAAAACTTGATCGTACGCCAACCAAGACCTATTTTCGTAAACTTTACAATTTAGCAATAACATGTTGGAAGGTCATCTCAAATCTCTTCACCTTTCCCAGCAAATTACTGCAGTATTTTGGCGAAATTCACACAAATGCTTGACTCATTTGTCTTTTTTAAACAACAAGTCGCTATCGTGCAGTCACGTACCATAACGGTTGCGCATAATCAAAGGTGACGACGCTTACTTTTTTTTACGAGAAAACACAAAAGCACGACATTAACGATTATCATGGGCTCGTTCTTTCGTAGATCGAATTCAACGGGCAGTGCGTGAACTCAGCGATTATAGTGTTCAACAATTTTGTTAGGATTAGTGTGATGTAACGCTCGTAATGGGGTGGCATTTTCTAATGCAAAAAAATTTCGAAAACATATCTGGCATTTTTCAACGGACTTACAGCAAGATACTGCCAATTATATGGCGATTTTATGGCGCACAAGCCTGGTTTTATAGTTGGCAGATCTGAAACCAGCAAAAAAAAATCATCACCCACACTTTTATAAAAGATGTATGATTCTTTGCTGCAAACTATTTCCCACATGATTAGTACCAAACAGGACCCAACATAGTATATGGTGTTGAGTATTTTGATAAAGAAGTCCCTTTTGACACTGCATTATGAAACAACCTTCGATTCAACTGGTTTGGAGCTTGGGAGGCGGGGCTTTGTGACAACATTAGAGCCGCTCGCGCCCGCTACGCAGTCTGCGCCTCTGTCGCGCAAGTGCTCTCTGATCATTATCTAGCCTTAACAATATCACGAAGCTCCGCCTATCAGCCGCCAAGCCAGTTGAATCAAAGAGTACTTTTCGGTTTCAGTAGAACTACCGCTTATAATCTGCAGCGAACGACGAGTGTGCAAGCGAGGAAAAGACAAGAAAAAGAGATAAAACAACAGTAGACGAGAAAAGAGCGCATTTTCACAAACATGGCTGCAGCAAAGCAGAGGGAAGAAACTTGGGTTAAAGTGAGTACTCATTGGTAAAGCTTGAACTGTAGAATATATTTAAAATTTCAAAGAGTTATATGAGAAAGAGGAAAAATTTTGATTTTGTTCCGTCCATATAACTTTGTTTGTTCTCACGCAATCTTAGCGCGCTTCCTCGTAGCGCGGAAGCAAAGTACAGTAAAAAAAAACACTGTTAACTTTTTTTGTACACATCATTTCTCAGTATTTTGTACTTTTCTTCTGATCGTTCACCCATTGGTGGCCTCAATATTGCTTAGGCGTCTCCAAGGCAGCGTTCACTTAAAATCTTCTCCCCCAGATTACTGCTTATCGTACTAGCAGACCCTAAAAGTAGACCAACCGCGTCGGTTTGGTCCCCTAGTGCTGCTCACAAAGGAAAATAACGGACCGGATTCTCTTTGCGCTCCGCCCCTTTTTTTGCGCTCCGCCCACCCAGAGATTGTCCCTTAACGTGTTCAGACATGACAAGCAACGTCGAGACGCATAGTTTGTAATGTGGCACTGTTGCATAACGGGTGTAGGCCGATTCGTATGACCATTGCTCTAGGGCACTTCCGTATAGGGCCAAAGATAAAGAAATGCGCTGTGCACTCTGTATGACTATTGTAAACAAATAAAATTGTAAACAAGTGAACCTGCCAGATCACGCAAAGAAATATGCTCATGCTATAATCTTTGTTTGCTTGCATTTTCATCCCACCTCATCTTTGCATTTTTATCGCTCAAAAATGCAGAAGCTGACTTCGTAGTCAATTGTGTGAAACCCAACACGAGAAATTTTACACAAAGCTGAAAACTTTGTGAAATCTTCCCCGCAATCACTTTTTGAACACCCATGAAGCTATGGATCAAGTTTCGCTATAAAAAGAACAATGATCCACATTCATCTACTCTATTTATCTGCATAATCTTGTAAGGCATATTGATGCATGAAGATTTTGTTACAAAACTACAGCCATTAGCTTCAGTCACGACAATTTCTATTTATAAAAACAGATTTAGAAACAGATATCCTCATAAGGAGGAAGAATCAGAAGTCGGCACCACGGGACTTTCAAAACGGAGTCCCCTTTGATTTTCGCTAAGTTTTACGAAGTCCCCCTTGACCCTAAACCCTAAACGTAAAAAAGTCCCCAAAAAACGAAACATCGACTCAAAAAACGTCGCAATTTGTCGACAAAAACGATACACCCTTTGCTTTTTGTCCCAAAAACAATATCCAGCTTGCCCCATGCCAGCTGGTGCCTGGTCCTGGGAAGAATTCTCTGACAATCTTTATTTTTAGTACAGAGGAAAAAAATCATGCAGCTCAGATTCAACTAGTGAATATCGTGTTATTTATGGATACAGATGTACTAGCGCATGCGACCAAGAGCAAACCAATGAATACCCTATCCCTATCGTTCAACTATACAAATGCAGCAGTGGCGGTCCCATTTCGGACCGGGGGGGGGGGGCGGCAAAAAATTTTTTCAAATGAAGGTGCGTGGTGTTAGCCACGCACTGCGAAAAAGTTTTTGGGGTGCTTCTCAAACTTTCTGCGGGTCCATAACTCCTAAAATCTTAAAAAAGCCCCCGAAAAAAAATTTTTTGCAAGGCTGATTTGAATTTTTAAAAAATTTTAAAGATTATTTTAATTATTTACAAGAATAAACAAGTCACTTGCATTTTTGTAGCCTATGTAAGTAGATTTCAAAAATTTCGCGACCCATTCTTGGCCCCCCCTCTCGGTCATCCACTGAAATGCAGGTTTACTAAATAAACAAATTTAGCTATGATCAAAGACTCTTATCATCATGTAATACGGGTGGACGAAATAATGGGGCACCTAGAAAATAACTGTAGCTTTCTCAAGAAAGAGAACTGATTGAATGCTTCAAGCTCGATAGATGCCAGTACATTACAGTCTTGAGCTTATTTATGTAAAGTCATTTGCATGTTCAATTATTTTTTTATACTTGCATTGAAACTCTTTACGCTCTGTCCACCTTGCAGTCTACCCCAGCTTTCGCCCGTGTTAGGGAAATATAGGTGAAAACATAATCTTATCGTCTTTTCTTATTTCGCCAAAAAATCGCATTTCTTCAAGTGTTTCGTCTTTTTATCTGGATACAAAAAGAACTTTTGCATAGTTGATAAATTACGGTATAGCAGCGCAAGAATGAGAATTTGTAAACTTTTTGAACAGATACAGCTTCCATATCTGAGAAGCGTTTTCCTATAGGAAGTTATGGTTCTAGTTAAAGTTCTTTGTATTTATAAGAAGTGTGGTCTAAAAGGGAATTGACGACCACGAAGTGGATGGATAACACTCAGAAACGTTCAGATAATATCATAGGCCCCAACGCTTATCAAGTGCTTTGCCTGAGCCCGTTTGTGTGAGAACTACCCTAATTTTATGACTAAAAATGCTTGTAAACTTGGCATAAGAAAAGCTGACAACTTTTTTCAGAAGAGCACATCCCAAATATAGAAGGCATATTTGACATCAGCGCAAGTTTCATCCATGGGTATAGACTACCTTCCAAATGGCCACTTCAACCAAGCGAACTACCCTTGTTAGAGAAGTTTAAGTTGCAGCCTGCTTGTTGTTGATAGAAACAGAAGAATCAAGATGTAATAGAAATCGAGCTGCTCCTATTACTGCAATCTATTATCATCAGCCAGAGGTGCAAAGTGGACTTGGTACAGCTGTGTGGCTTCAAATCATGGGTCTCTTTCCCTATGCGCTTCCTTTGCTACGCTTAAGTAGAAAGCGCTTTCTTATTACGCTTACGTTTGCAATTTAGCTTTATGACCAATTTCGTCAAAGAGAAACTAGAATTTTAAATTATCATTTACACTATTTATTTGAGATTATTATTGTCAGTACATCGATTTAAAACTATCGAATTAGCTCACATCTTTGCCTATCACTCTGCTCCATATCCTTTACATTTGGCACCAATTTTGCTAAAAAAAACCAAGCCAGAAAAATTTTTCAGGATGGAATCGCCCGGTTCCGAGTCTCCACGTTCAATTCGAGACATACACAAAGGTAGCGGTAACCTACGTGGTGGAGGCCTTCAGAAGGTGTACGTCACACAGAAACCGGTGAGTAGCCAATGTACCATAGAGCGTTGACGTCGTTTCTTGTTCTCTTTCTCTCTCGCTAGCGGAGTTTGCGCTGGATTCTTATTTCTGTGAAGGCCGCTGCTTTGCAGTAATTCTCTTTCCGTCTTCTTTCACCTTGATTCTTAGCCCTACTTGGTCATTTAAGGGTAGATCGATTACAATAATCAGTATCTGAATTGGTTTGAGAAAAAATCATCTGACTGACAGCTGTTTAGCTGAAACTTTGAGAAAATGAATTGAGCAACAAAATGTAGCCTATGTTATGGATCTGGCCCAGATTTTTTTATCCTTGCACTATATCCTTACTTGCATGCTTCCCCCCCCCCCCCCCCCAACCCATACTGGCTCATAACTGCACTTTTTTGTATTTAGCGAGAAACTCCGCTTGCCATACTCGGACAAGAGTAACAATTAGCAGGTACCAGTGCTCGTTTAATTCAATCGAAAACCGAAAACTGTGCCAGAATTTGAGAAATTGAGTATTTACATCAATCTTTACCTACATTTTTCGATCAAATGTGTCGCGTCATAGCAGTGCAGATAAGCTATAATTTTCATAATACTAAGTTTTTTGCATGGAGAAAAAAAAGAAGAAAGGCCGAAGTTATGCGGCTGCTGAAAATTTTCTGCATTAATATATGCCGGCCTTGTACAATCGAATAAAACTCCAGTTATACTCAACTTTGTAGTTCCATTTGGATAGTGAAGTGTCGATGAAACAGTTGGAAAAAAATAATAATATTAATAATTGTATACTGAAGTGTTCCATGTTTTTTTCTCGCTGAAAATAGAGTGAGCTTTTTTAAAAACTCTCGTCCTGCCAATTCAAAAAATTCTGACCCGTGTCACTTGAGTATCAGGAGTTATTGAACTTCCCATTTTTTAGATCTTTTACAAACTATGCACAGCTGCTCAAGTAACTGCACTTCGCTTTTACTTGATGGCACGTCTCGGTTTCTTACGAGCATTTCTGAACTCTATTCTTTTTCCGTGCATTCCATTCGTGATGAGCCTTATCTGAAATTGCAGGAGTAAAGTCTGCACTCGATTCAAGTTCTTGTCATTTGTTTTGTTGATTCTTAAACATCAAACGGTGCCAATTTTTGGACGAAATCATTCTCCCAATCTATTATTTTTCAAGACTAAAAAAATGACCGAAACAGCCTTATATTCAATCTTCATGCAAGCTCCATATTCGATCATTTGCCAGATTAATCATCAAATCATTTCATTTCGATAATGAGTTGTTATAAGGATTACTTTTTCAGTGTGTTTCTCATTATACATCTGAGTTTTATTCTCCCAGTCAACAGATGCATAACATTACTCAACCACCAGTCTAAATCCATAATTCATAAAGCTTATTAATTCATTCATGTCCAATCCTTCGTTCATACTTGTGACTCACAATGAAGAAAAGCAATGAATCATGCGCAACTTTTTCACTGTTGCCTCTCATACAATCCGCAAAATACTTCCGGGGAAAACTGAACTTCTTAAACCTCCGGGAGGGGGGACATCCTATTGGAGCTGCCGGATAGGAAGCGGTCACGTAGGGCGGGGTCCACTCACACGGCCCTATAGAAGCGTCCGTCCGTGAAGGAAGTTCAGTTTTCCCCGGAAATATTTTGCGGATTGTCTGAGCTGCTGCGAACGGTCCGATGGTCTCAGCGCCTTAGCTTGTGCTTCACAGTCCATCACAGCTCGTGGATCCTAGGCACTTCCGCGTCCGCGCCAGTTTGGACATTCTGGCATGTCGATGCCACCCAGCCAATCTCGATCATGATCATAAGTGTGAATCACACTATTAGATCAATTATCATGTACGTGAAATGATTACAGGAAAAAACTAATTGTAAGTAATAGAGAGGTTTACTGTAACTTCTTCAAAGAGAAGACAAAGCCAAGAACGAGTCGATTCCTCCGGTGCTGCCGATGTTCATCTAGAAACCTCCGTATACGTTCAGATTTCTTCGGCAGGCTCCCAGCGGAATGGTGCGACTTCTTTCCACTCCTGATACTGCTCTCCACTATCAACAACAAACTTTGCGCTACCGCTAGTCCTACCATCGACCAACCAACCACATATGCTCAATCGCTAACTTCAAAGAGGCATCTTTGAAAAATTAGAAACTCACCGCGCAACAAAGTGGTAGGACAGCTCAAAAAAGGCATACGCCCCCGTCTGTGCCGCTATCTATACATCTAGACTTAATAGCTTGCTTAACGAGGAGCGGTCCGGGCGCGAACGTAATAGCGTGCCGATGACCACGGCAAACAGTGCTCTCGGCCGCTCTGTTTCAAGGAGCGATTTGCATTTCGGAGTCGCCACCAGCACCACAAAGTACCCAGTAAATCAGAAGGTGACCTATTGATTTTATTTGCTAAGGAAGACTGTAAAAACTTGGAAGATCAGGAAAAGGAGCAAATCATTTTTCATTGTCACTGCGTCAGTTGTGCCCTTGCCCTTCAATTAACACTCTAGTTCAAATTTGGTAATAAAATCAAATTTTTGAAATCATTCCATACATCTTACTAGTTTCTCACTATGAAATCGACCTCATTCGGGTATATTTATTCAGCATCAGCGCTCAAGAAATGCTAAACTTTCCTTTTATATTTCATTCATCCATTCATTCATTGGATGCGTACTATAATTTAATCTTTGTTTACACAAACATGTATGTTCAGATCATTCATTCATCCATCCTATTTACCTATCAAATAATTTATTTATTTATTTATTTATTTTATTCCATTCATTCATTCATTCATTCATTCATTCATTCAGCTATCTATCCCTGCCTTTTTTGGGGTTTCACTCAACCAACATTTCAAGAAAGTTTTACGCTTTATAGTGTCACTACGGTGACAATAACGTTTGCGCGGAAGCAAGCGTCATGCTTGCAAATGTCGATGAATTGCTTGTGACCTGCGCATATAAAATGGCCAGAGAACAAACATTACCAAAGGTTACGCGCAATTGTTGTGGGCAACGCAAAAACACTCAACTGATCGTCAAATCTACCAAGTTATATTCATCTCCTTCTAATTCATTTACTCATTCCATTGACTCAATTTAATTTACCAGAGAGCCTAAGTTATTGGAATTGATCAAATTAAATTTGAACTTCTCATAAGCAGCAGAATTTGTCTCGAATTTGTCAGAACAAGCACAGTGGCATACCCAGGATTTCGGCGGGGGGGGGGGGGCAAAAATTTTTTTTCAAATGAAGGTGCTTGGCTAACGCCACGCACTCCGAAAAAATTCTAGGGGGCTTCTCAAAATTTTTTCGGGCCTCCAACCCCTAAAATCTGGAAAAAGGGGGCGTGGCGTCAGCAACGCCCTCCGAAAAAAAATTTTTTATAAGGCTAATTTAAATTTTTAAAAAATTTTAAACACAATTCTAATTGTTTACAAAAATAAACAAGTCGATTGCACATTTTTATAACTCATGTAAGTAACTTTCAAAAATTTCGCGACCCGTTCTCGGGGGGGGGGGCCCTCGGTACGCCACTGATGTAGAAAGAAACAATGATGGAATTATCACCAGTAAGAGCGATGCTCCTATTGATCGATGCATTATTGCAGCACAATAGCAATGGGCCACATAATCTCCTAATTTCTTGTGGTCATATACACTTTGATCACGAAACCATGAAACATTCCTACCAACAAATGCTTCCTACCGAGCTATTTTATGAGACATTTCATCTTAACGTAATTGTTTCCTGGTTGTCGTTAATCTCTAGGGCAATGTCGTCAATGGGCTTTGCAGAACGACAGGTTTCAAACGATGTTGCATAGGTTTCAAGTTCTGCAAAAGCTTGGTTTCGCCCCATCATCTCTTTCCTTTCTCATGAAAAGAAAGGGGCGAAGGCTGCGTAAAGGAGAATAAACTAAACTGACCTTGAAATGCTATTTCCCTGTATGTCAGTTCTTGACTAGTGATTGAACTACCACTACTTGCGTGAAGTGCAAAGTTGCCAGTTGACTGACAAGTACCAAATAAGGCACAACTTTGCCCCCCCCCTCCCCGCTTCTCTTGCCCTACAAGGTGAATAATCTTCGTACAAATATGTGAAATGAAGCGTGTCGATCGTACACATTATGTAAGAAATGTTAAGGTTGATTGCACACATACCTAGTAGAACTTCTCCCCCAATACTAGACCCAATCAACATGCATGACAGACTGCAGTCAACTTGTGCATACATACCAAATGGAGACAAATTATCTCAATATTTCGAAACATGTTTGTAGACATAACTCTGGAATTCGAGTTCTCTGCTTTGCATTGTTTGGATTGCATTTAGAACGTGAGCCTCAACTGAGCTAGGAAATTGTTTACATATTTCTGAAGGATCTATAAAAATTTATTCAACCTGATTTTGGATTTTTGTGAATGGTTGGATCTCACGGGAACTCAGCCAAATCGTCAAATCTCCAATCTCTGTTCAAAATTTTGTAGCATCGAAATGTTTGGGGAATAGGGACTATGCCAAAGCGCTCTCTCAAACATTCGCAAATGACTTCCGGAGAAAACTGAACTTCTAAAACTTCCGGAGTGGACGCTCCTATTGAGCCGTGTGGGTGGGCCCCGCCCTACCTTGCCCCGCCTTACCTGGCAGCTCCAATGGAAGTGCTCCCCGGAAGTACAAGAAGTTCAGTTTTCCCCGGAAGTCATTTGCGATTGTCGAGTACGCGTACGCTTTTCTATTAGGTTGGAAAAAAGAATGGTTTTCGTGGAAAGCAGCAAAGCGAAAATCTTGCTTGCTCCTGCGTGTAGTTTTCAACACATGCACCTTATATATACACTTGTACATTTTTCCGGGGTTCAAAATCAATAAAAAATTAGGAAACGGGAAATGGTACGCCCTAGCAGTTTCTCCCATGTACCCTTTGATTCAAATGGCTTGGCGGCTAGAAGGGGACTTCGCGAACTACAGTCAATGTCAATTAGAACTCCCTTGCGCGA